ATCCAAGTTTTTTAAATTTTTGGGCTCATGCACATTAGCGTCAAATCTGTGACCGGTTTTGGACAGATTACTAAGAATTTATTTTATTTAAGTAGTATAATTATAATTTCTCCATTTATTTTAAATTTGGAAGCGCGTGCTTGTCATAGTTGTGTATAATATTTATTGTGTACAAGTCTGTGTATTTATTTGATTCTCATATATTGCCACGGTTGTTTGATTGCTTCAGTTTCGACACGTGAAAACAGTTTGAAATTATAAACCAGTCACTCCTAGTCGAATTCCGATACTGTCAAGATATACTTTTACAAGTGACCATTTAGTTGATATGGAGCTGATTGTTCATTTAAACAATAAAACCAATTGGGCATTATGCATGCGCTCGTGTTCTTGAACGATATGAAAAATTGGAATGTCACGACAGTACTCATTGAAACCGGTATTTATAAGCTTTACATGACAGCTATCAATGTATTCATTTTATTCAAGGCATTTATACATTCAGTCACTTATTTTTTTTTACTTTATTCACTGTTTATTTTGGCATTTCATTTTGGTCTATATTTTCTTAAAAGATAGGATATGATATCTACTCAAATAACAGAGCTTATCTGACCGAAGTTTATGATCGCCTTTTCGTTGTGTTTTTCCTTTATTGTTTTTTTGTATTTAGATATAACCATATCTAATCGTTCTATACGAGTTAGTTTCGTTAGTGAATGGATGTGTTATATACCAAATATGATCCATAATTTTCCTTACCCTTGTTTGTGCCATTTTCCGCGATTAAGACAACTTTAGTTCGTTGCTTGTCAGTGTTTTTCCCCTCATCGGTTTGTTTGTGTACTTTGTTCGTTGTCCCATTTTTAAAATCTGAAATGTGTTGTTAGTATTTTGGTTGTATTTTAATTCATTCAGTGTTTTGCACTCATTCAGTGTGTCTATTTTTCATGTTACGTTCAACGACATTTTGTTGTTGTTTTTTGTTTATTGTCTTAAAAAAATTATTTTAGGCCAAGTGGTTCTCCAGTGTATAGAAAATTATAATAAAGTTGGTCGGTATGCATATCACATTTAGTATCAATTCGCTTCCAGAAAGAAATTTTTATGAGTTTTCTTCTGTACTTATTTCCTGACAAGTTGGAAAAATTAACTATTGTTAGCATTATTTCCTCGAAACGTTTTACGAACCATCTTATGGTTTTGTCGAAAGCATTGGCTCAGTAGGTAAACCATCTGTCTTTCGGTCACTAAGTCAACAGTTCGAAATCCTCCCCACCGGGAATTATGTGGTGTAGTATCACTGTTTTCCGCACTTGGAGTACGGTACAGAGTCAAGTAAATGAGGTAAATGAGTTATAAACACTAATGCTTTGTCTTCACATTAACTACCAATAATTAGTGGAGGAAGCTTTATTTTAGATAGATGTTTATTGTCATCTGTAGTTGGGTTGCATTTCTGTTTGAGTAAACTATGCAAACTAGACGAAATCATAACCACTTTATATCTACGGGGTTTGCTTTGGAATTCTTTTAAAATGCGTCTGTTAAAACTAATGTTTGTGCTAGGTTGAAAAATTTCAAATCCGATGGAAACTGTCTTATGTGTTTGTGCTCAGAGGCAAAGAAAATGAACATACATACTTGTCGTTGCAAATGGAATAATGGTACTAAAGTATAATTCATACACAATAAAGATGACTACGACTATCAGATTGTTCGCTGGATGAAAAACCATCGAAAGCTTAATTCCGTCACTTTCTATTGTATTGACTTCATGAACAATAGAGTCAATAAGTTGGTCCATTTTCAATCAAATATAGTTATAAATGGCAAAAGTTTACTTCTAAATGCTACCTGAACACTATGACATTTGTGTTATTCGTTTCTCTGGCTAGATTCTGTTTTTGAAAAGCTAATCATGTTAATTTAGTATAATTCAGTACCAAATCAATACTTTGGTAATTTTTTGGGATGATAAAACTAATTACTTATTACCCTATGCCATTCTATCAATTATGCTAATTTGTTTCAATATATTAATTTTGCATTAACTTTATTAGTATTATCCCCATCATTTTAACTATTTTTTTATTACTTGATTAAAATGAAATATTTCTTTTAGATAATTGGGCTTTCTTGTTTGCTCAACGTTTAGCATTGAAATTTAAAGTCCCACTACACGTTTGTTTCTGTTTGGTTCCGAAATTTCAAGCCGAAACGTTACGACATTATACCTTTATGGTTGAAGGATTGAAAGAAGTAGAGAAAGTAAGTGTTATATTCGTATTTAATTAAGTGGTTAGTCCTAATGTTCAAGTGAGAGGTCCTGTTAAAGAGATGTCACAATTACCTGTCAGGGTTTCTGTCGATGTTTAGTTGCCAACCAAAGTTAAATTTTATCTCTTCCAGCAATGTTATCCTCATATATTTAGTCACTTGTCCGTTAGCTTATCTTACTTGGATCGTTCCATCTTATGTCACAGATGATAGGTGACGTCGTGGAGCAGCTTGTATTATTTAAGAAAATTAACGCGCACAATGCTATATCAGTACCGGATAAAATCAAAATCTTCGTATTCTTTTCACATTACTTATTAATTAATAATAATAATAGTGGTAATAATAATAATGGTAATGGTAATACAAGGATATATAAATAAGAATAACAAAGACAATAATATCTAAGAAAAGTTCAATGTACATTGGTCAAGTTGGGCCATTCTGTTGTTAAAATTACTATTGATTTATTGGTCCTGAGGTTGGAGCCAAGGTAAAATAATGGATTGAATATACTTCTTTGTACACCTAGTCCCAGTTTTTTAATCTGAACGACTATCGCTTCTGCTGTTTGAAGGACTTTGAGTAGGACGGATTTTGGCAAAAAATTACTAACCTGATAAATTATTAAGATTGATTTATACTAGCGCTGTAACCAGTTTGGAATAAATGGGCTAGTATTAAGCTGTTTGCTTTCTTGATTACACCTTTTCTTAGTCACTCTGAGAGATGTTTAGGATCACGAAAATGTAAATCCCTAGAACTTCGTTTAATATAACTTTCTCCACAAGAGAAGTCGAATTGTGAAATACAAATGAGGTTGTAGGTAAGTCGTCTTTTAGCCTTGGTGGGTAGGAAACACTAGTCTCAGTTTTCTGGCGTTTAACGTTCTCTGAATTGTTCTACGTAATTTCTAGATTAGTATTTCACTGGCTGCATCACCTCTGAATTGTAGGCATGTGAACAGGGATTTCTTATTCACTGTTTGTATTTCGCCTATTCTAATCTTTGTGGTCGTATATTTCTTTATAAACTTTCTAGAGTGTCTGCTTTCCCTACAAGTAATACGCATGGCGTTTAGCTCTTCAACTATATCAGCAGAACATATAGAACTAAGTGTTCATCAAGTTTCTTTTGTACTGTAGAGGTAAAAAACTAAGGAAATGTATACTGACCTTTCCAGGTACTTTCCTCGTTTAAGTTCTTTCTTATAAACGCACCAGCTCTTTTTGTTAACAAAGTGTTCGGAAAAACTGTTCTACTTTCACTTTCTTCGGAAGTTAACCTAATGACTGAGTGTACTATCTTTACAGAGGATGAACGTCTCATTCGTACACCGACAATAAAGTGTGAATTTTCTGATAAATTGTGGACCATTTCCTAGCTTAGTCAGAAAAATGTCAGCTAGTATGGGACTTAATAGCAAACCCATTACAACTCCATATATTCGTCTATCGACGTCTCCGTTAAACTTGAAATTCGCACTCAAAGTGCATTTCAGTAACAATCGTTTTATGATATTAATTGGAACTTCACTTTCCATCTCTTTTTTTGCAAGTTGTTCACAAGTATATTCTGCAGTCTCCATGAGTGGGACATTAATGAATAATGATGTTACTTTTAAAGAAATCATGGTTACCAACTAATCAGTAAAAAATCACAATGTTATATTTGTCATCAAGTGGTTGTGAAGACTGCTCACTTTTCTTGAGATCATGAACTGCCGAGGAGTCCCATACTAGAACGAAATGGTCGTCAAGTGCTTTCAGGTTTTCAGTGGTGGTCTAACTTAAGACAGTTTTATATATTGCATGAATTGCTTGTTAATCTGACGTGTTTCTATTATCTAGTACTTTATAATGTTACAAAGCAATAATTAGGTTGTTCTACTTAAAAATAATCCTTATTTATATAATTTATCATTGTAGGTTATGTTAGTTATTGTGCTGCGTCCTGACCTGACTCTGATTTGAATGGACGTTTAAACGTACTATAAAAATAAATCTGCCATTTTAATCCGTACACTACCTAGGCTAACCCCGTTCGTGCGACGGCGGTAATGAGAATGTAAATACGGTTTGGGTTGAATTAATTTATTTTAAGCACTTGTTTATCCAAACAGATATTCAGAATAAAAAGGGAAGCGGAGAAGGCGAGTGACCCAACTCGTTTTGATAAAGCGAAACAAAATAAGCCAAAGACATGTAATTAATAGGGTAGGCAGTACACACACCTATGCTCATACAAGAACAGTTGAGGTTAATAAACTAATAATTGACAAGGTCAAAACATCACTCAAGAAGAATGAATAAACTGATCTGTCTGGAGGCTAGAATAACCCATTTGTACTTAACATGATACTAGACATCACAAGTTCACTCACTGACTGTTTGCTATCAAAGAATTTTGCTAATTATGTACTGCCATTTAGTTAAGCTTTACTAGAAGCTTCACTTAGAAGAAGAGGAACCGCTATGTTATGGAAAGTTAGTTGTAGACTTACTGATTGAATCAATTCCATCTGTTTATTAAAGCTTAGGAGCTCTGCTACAGTATTGTTGAAATTCACTATCCTCACAAAATAAGGATTCCATGTTATACGTATAATATGTGTTATTGTTATAACCTCTTTCTTCTTACGGTTATGACCCAGCTATTCCTATTGCTTAGTATTCTCGGACACCGATTCACTCGACAAGTCCCCAAATCAGAACACGGTTGAACAGGAAAGAGATTATATTCCAAATAGCAAGTCAGAAGCACAATAGAGAAAACGTCAGTATATTTATAGTTTTTTACATGAGAAGATTCTAGAGTATTCTCCAACTATCGACTAGTGCTGATTGGATAAGAATTAGCCAATCAGCGTGCACCAAAGCAATCATGCATTGAGCATGCTTTAATCTAGTCTATGTCCCGCTAACACCTCCCCTTTGAGCAGATTCGTAGGATCTGGTGCTAGGGTCCAACTGCAACCGAGTGACTGGCCTGTGCTTTCGATTAGTCCATCGTCTAGGCAATAGAGAAGTATCACTCTTTTCTTGCACAGAAACTGACGTGTCTATTCCCGGCGTTTTGATTTCAAAGGTGTCTAGCAGAACATCAAGAGGTAATCGATATTGAATCTTGTTGCTGGCTATCGAAGTTGCTTTCAATTGGTTAGCATGACGTACCCAAACTTCCGAGCCAACTGACACCTCGTAAACCACACTCCCCTTCTTTTTCACGATCCGACCAGCTGTCCATGTAGGATGTTTCCCACGATAGTCCATAGCAAGCACTTTTTGTCCCACCGTGAACAATCGTCTTTGTGCCCCATGATGTCGGTTAAACTGATTCTCCATCGATAGGTTTCGTTGGGGTTCAATAGCTGGCGTAGGACGGATGACATCGAAATGTGTTCGTATCTTTCTGCCAAGTAGAGCTTCTGCTGGAGAGACCCCGTTAATTGTCTGAGGGTTCGGTGTAGAGCGATAAATAAACAGGAACCTCTCTAAGATATCTTCAGTGGTCCCTTCCCCTTTGGATTTTTTTAGAGCATTTTTAAATGTACTCACAAAGCGTTCCACTTGGCCATTTGATTGGGGATGGAATGGAGGTGTTCGCAGGTGCTGGATTCCGTTCTGCCGACAAAATTGTGAGAAGATTCGGACGTAAACTGTGTTCCGTTGTCACTAACTATCAATTCCGGGATTCCAAAACGACTGAATAGTTGACGTAGTTTACTGACTGTGCAGCTTGCAGTCGGGTGTTCCATGAGAAAAATTTCTGGCCACTTGCTATATGCATCAACCACCAAAAGGTAAGTTTGTCCATGAAGTGGACCAGCAAAGTCCAAATGTATACGCTGCCACGGTAACTGTGGTATTGGCCATGATTGCAGCTCTGCTTTTCGCGGTGCTTTTGTTGCTAATGCACATTTGGTACACGAACGGGATAGCTGCTCCAGTTGGGTGTCTAAATGCGGCCAGTATACATAACTTCGTGCTAGTGCTTTCATGCGATTTATTCCAGGATGTCCTGCATGCAACTGTTCAAGCACTGCTGGTTGTAGCTTCTTGGGAATTATGACACGTTCGGCAAACAGCAGACAGTCATCGATGATTGAAAGAGAGAGTCTTCGCTGGTAAAACTGTTGAAGCTCTGTGGAACTGATTTTCGAGGGCCACCCTTCTAGGTGGAACTTTCTAACTTCTTGTAGTGTTGGGTCTCGAAGCGTTTCTTCCCTGACTTCATCTGACGACACTGGAGTGTTTCGAATGGCATCTGCCACTATACTTCGTATTTCTGGGTCTACTGCTGTGGAGGCAATGATTATATCCTCTGGTCCAGGATGTTGAACTCCAATTAATCGGGAGAGAGCGTCAGCTTGACCGATAGTATTTGTCGACTGATACTTGATATTAAAATCATAACTCAGGAGCATTGTTGCCCAGCGCTGTAGTCTATTAGCCGTATAGACAGGGATTCCTTTCTTAGAACCAAAGATTGCAATCAAAGGTTTGTGATCTGTCAGTAGAGTAAATGTACGACCATAGAGCATTTTATGAAATCTTTTGACTGCGAAAATGATTGCAAGAGCTTCCTTTTCAATTTGGCTGTAGTTTCGCTCGGCTGGAGTAAGTGATCTAGCAGCATGGGCAATTGTCTTTTCTGATTTATCCGGAAACACGTGAGATATCACTGCTCCAACTCCATGACTAGAGGCATCAGATGCAACAACAATTTCCAAGCTGGGATCGAAGTGCGTCAAAAGAATCTTTGAGCTGAGCATTGATTTGACTCTGTCAAAAGATGCTTGACATTCTGCTGACCACTGCCAAGGTTTATCTTTCGATAGTAATTCATTTAGGGGACCTCTCACTCGATGCATTTCAGGCAAGAATGTGCTGTAATGACTGATTAACCCCAAGAAGGATCTTAATGAAGAAACATCAGTTGGTGCAGGCATCTTCTGAATGGCTTCGATGTTGGCAGGGTCTGGTCGGCGACCGTTCTTATCTAAGATAAAACCAAGGTATTTGATCGAATGCATGAAGAAGATACATTTTTCCTCACGTAGTTGGAAACCATACTCCAACACTCGGTTAAGGACTTGGTGTAGTCGATCAGAAAGTTCACTATCAGTTGAACCCATAACTATGATATCATCTAGATAAGCTGCTGTACCAGGTATACCTGTTAGCATCGTATCCATTATTTGCTGAAAGATGGCGGGTGCGGTCTTGATGCCAAATGGTAGACGAGTGTATTGAAATAACCCTCGATGAGTGTTAATAGTCAGAAGCTCTCTACTATCTTCATCTACTTCCACTTGGAGATAAGCATCAGAGAAGTCTATTTTCGCGAAACATGTCCCACCATTAAGCTTGGCAAACAGGTCTTCAGGAACTGGTAAGGGATATTGATATACATCTAATGCAGCATTTAAACCGGTCGAGAAATCGGCACATATGCGTATAGTCCCATTGGCCTTCTTAATCACTACGATCGGTGCGGCCCATGCAGAGTAGTTAACTGGTCGGATTACACCAGCCTGTTGCAAGCGATTAAGTTCCTGGTCGACTAGCTCAAGAGCAGCATATGGTACAGGACGTCTCGGGCGAAAAATAGGTATGGCATCTGGTTTTACTGGTAAATGCGCTTTCATCTTGGTACAGTGGCCAAGGCTATTCTGAAAAACAGAGGCAAACTTTCTTTTCAGTTTTTCTAGTAACCTTTCACCTGTCTTCTTTGGAAGTACTGGGCTGTCCAATGATGAACACGATACGTTACAGACACTGTTAATTGGTATATCCATTATTCCAAGTTTGTCTAACATATCTAGACCAAGAAGATCAAGGTTCGGCCGTTCTGTTAGGTAACATATTCCTGTACAGTTAGTTCCATTGAAGGAAAATTCACACTGTAATTCACCAACCAGTTTTAGCACACCACCTGATGCGTTTTTAGCCGTTTTCTTAGATGGCTTCATTGGCGGTTTACCCAGCAAGTTATACGTTTCTCTAGACACTAACGTGATATCTGATGCCGTGTCAATTTGAAGACGAGCTGATATGCCGTTTATCTGGATGGTAACATATTTTCTCCGAATGTCATAGTTTGTTTGAAAGGCAGCTACCAGAGAAAGAGATTTCGACTCGGCTGATTTCACATGTCGAGGACGTTTATGCTTCTTCTTAGGCTGAGACGTACGCTTCGGTGGACAATGACCTTCTTTATGTCCACGTTTGTTGCACGCCTGACATTTATGCTTCTTGAACGGACAGAATCGTGCATAATGCCAATCACCGCATAACCAGCATGCAGTCCTTGGTTTGTTACGAGTTGTTACCGGCTTCTGAACTTTTAACCTAGTAATAGTATTTACACTACCGCAGGTTAAATTAGGATTTACCTGTTCAATCAACTCGTTGTCGTGTCTGATGCTTTGTAGACGCTTACACTCATCTGTCAATGTTCTGAGTGTGACGTTTGGGTCTTGATCCAGTCGAGCAAAAAGTCTAGTCCTGATCTCAGCATCTTGTGGTGACTGAAGAGCTTTGATGAATATTAAGCATTTAAATTGGTCATCAGTCAACGAGCGTAACTTGAAACGTTCACATTCTCTGTTGACAATGTCTGCTAGAACACCATATTCATCAGCTTCGCGTTTCACCAAATTTAGACACCGATATCGAATACTAAACAACGAGGATGACTCGCCGAATATCTCTGACAACTGAAATACCGTCTCCTCGAAACTGAGCTCTCGAGGTAACTTTGGCAATATATGGTCAGCAAAACGTGCATGTTCGTTGCTTCCCAACTTACGTACCAACAATCGGGTCTTCCACGCATCGTCTTGGTTACAGAATTCTGTTCTAAATGTATCTTCCCAACGTTGAACCACGTGAGAAAAGTATTTCCACTTTCGGGATCATAGATGAATTCTGGGATGCTGCTAGCAACTGCATCACAAGACGTACTTGAAATAGCATGTGAACTCGAGCTGTGGATGTTGAGCTGTTGAGTCAGAGTCTCCAACAACCGCATTTGTGCATCAAGTTGTGCTTGCTGTTGTTGTAGTATTCGGTTAAGCTGGTCATCTGATATAGGCATCTTGAATTTGTTTTCCTTTTTCCCCGTCGCCACTGTTATAACTCTTTCTTCTTACGGTTATGACCCAGCTATTCCTATTGCTTAGTATTCTCGGACACCGATTCACTCGACAAGTCCCCAAATCAGAACACGGTTGAACAGGAAAGAGATTATATTCCAAATAGCAAGTCAGAAGCACAATAGAGAAAACGTCAGTATATTTATAGTTTTTTACATGAGAAGATTCTAGAGTATTCTCCAACTATCGACTAGTGCTGATTGGATAAGAATTAGCCAATCAGCGTGCACCAAAGCAATCATGCATTGAGCATGCTTTAATCTAGTCTATGTCCCGCTAACAGTTATTTGATCCAACTTCTTATCAGATAACTTATTCAGTTGTTTCCGTTCCTTAACACAAACCTGACTCACAATACATCAGTGAGTTGGTGAAGACCTATGGGAGATCACAGCAAGTCATTGTCTTAGTAAAATGAAATATTTGAACGTTGGTTTCAGTTACTAAAAATATGTATGTTTCCTATTAACTAATGTTTGAGAGACAAACCTAATCTCTAAGATTGGCGACTTTGGGCCCATCCTGTTTCTGGTCCTGGATATTCTGAGTTATCGTTACCAGGTGAAACTCATAATACTTACACGTGAAAATTGCGCTGTTGTTTTTATTTCATGTGTATAAAGAAGAGAATTCCAAGATCTTTTTGAAATCTGCTTCTGTTATTTTTTTATTGTCGTTTATTTCTCTTTTTATTTGTGTCTGTACAACGCCTTTGTATGATGCATATTTTAGTTTCTGTTTTATTGAGTGCTGTGTTTAAATGGTATATATATAAGCATTTCGTATATGAGTTGCGTTTGTAAGATTTTATCGTGTTAATATGTGTAACATTTAACATAGTAAATTTTGGCCTCCTTTTTTATTTAGGAATGTCGTGAACTTTGCATACCATTTCATATTACATCAGTTGCCAATAACAGCTCACCGACCAATCAGTCAGTCAAAACGGGCATCAAGCGTAAATTACCGGAATCAGTAAATAATTGTTGTTATGCTGATACAGTCGCTCAGTCCGTTTTAAGTTTGATACAAAATGTTAATATCAGCTGTATCGTAACAGATTTTTTTCCTTTGCGTGAACCTACAGCTTGGATAAAACAGTTGGCTGAACTGCTTCCAGAAAATATTCCGTTTTGTCAGGTAATAATTGATAAAGATTAATGATTATTCTGTGCTTATAATTTGACTATTTTATCTGTAGTGATTGTGTAGAACAGAGCAATAGGGAGAAGCAATCAATGTTTGTTGTGAGAAATCACAGTGTTTATATAATACATATACTTAGCCGTGGATCATCTGTTTGCATCTTGCGGTGTGTTCTACTGTCTGAAATGTCTTTTGATCCAGTATTCAAATGTTGTGCTTACGTCGTGCTTTGACGTACTGAAGCTTTTCTCTCCTAATGACTGCGACGTCTTCTCAGCCACGTTTTAATACATATTACTTACAAGCAGTTTTGTGACTAATGTTGACAAGTCAATTATTTCAACTTGGTACATATTACTTACAAGTAGTTTTGTGACTATTGTTAACAAATCGTCAATTATTTCAACTTCCAGCAAGTTCACTGAACATCTTTGTATAAAAATGGAAATTAGAATCTGGGAGTGATTCCTTTTTAAAAGTTGATGCCAATGAAAATATATTTTTAGGTCTTGGAGAAGTGAGAAAGTGTACTTTTTACCTAAAATTGTGCTTTAGTAAACAGTCCGTGGATTGAACTTAAAATTTCTAATTGTTCATGGCTTAGAGTTTAACATTTAAGACCTTTCGACCGAATTTCACTGAGGCATTTAGGCTTGTAGCCGAATCAGTTCGTTCTTTGTTTAGAACTGAAAAATCTCATCAGTTGTAATGAAATAGAGATTCCAACCCCTTTTTTTATTTATTTTTACAGCATATCTCAACTTCTGGTAGGAAAAACCCTTCATATTTCATAACTTTATATTCATTTTAAAGTTTTTATTGGTCATAATCTTCAATCATATTCTTGAAAATATGTAACTGTTTGTATTTCAATGGTTTCTACATGTTAGCCTGTAGGTAATTAGTTTAATCAATAATTCCGAATATTTGACAAAAGATAATAAATTATCTTTTTGTTTTCCAAAGGGGTAAAGTATTCAAAAAATGTAGTTTAACTCTGTTCTGTTGAAAAAATGAAAGTCAGGAACCAGTAGTTTAGTCGTTATTTAGATGACTCTAATTTACGGTCGAGCTTTGAGCGACACGAAAGCGATTTTAAGAAATTCCAACTACTTATGGACAAAAGAGGGTATAAGTTAGTGTGAGTGATTAGGATTAGAATTTAGTGTTAGAAGTTAGGGTTGAAAAGTAGAGTTAGGGTTTTCATCACCAAACTGCATCAACTATAATGCCGAAAATTCTGTGTCGTCATTCGAGTGAGTGAATTTCACGCCGAAATCTGAGAGTTCCCTCTTGAATCTGATTAGTTCGTCCGTAAATAATAATCCCACCGTTGTCTGGTTTCATAGTAATTACAACATTCGGCTCTCAACTATCATTCTGAAGGTTCGAATCCTCTTGCTTTCAGTCTGAATAGCTGTTTAGTATCTCTAATCTGAATACTAGGAATGTAATTGAAAGTCAGATACATAACTGCTGTAAATAGCTGGTAAGTTGTAGCATTCATTCATTTCTTACAAAGTCAGTGTGAATCGCTATTAAATCTACATGATACATTTTGAATTATTTATATTCCTTGTAAATCCGTTGGAAAGTGTAATAATAGACAAGTCAAGTGAATGTTGTTCACTAATGTACTCAGGTAATTAATACTATTGATTACTGTTTATACTCTTACTACCTCTACCACTATGGAATTTGAATCGACAACTGCATCTTTGTGCTCATGTGGTATGGCAACTCGAACTGATGTACGTACGTACGAAGTTCTGCGTTGTTACTGACTGACTGACTGGTAACATTCTGGAGTGCATGAGGAAGGCGTCAATGTTTATAGAGACATTAATTTATCTCATATATATATATATATATATATATATATATATATATATATATATATATATATATATATATATATAGTGTGAATCGAGTAGACAAAAACAATATTGTATATATGCATATTAAACTTCGTCATACTTTGTCTGAAAGCTAATGATATTCCTAGACACAGCTGCCCAAATTAAGATAGGTAAAGTGAATTTGAGACTTACAATTCATTAGTTTCAAGTCAAACGCGTCTTACAACTGTTCGTATATATTTTACCAGTTTTATAGTTTTACTAACATTTGATTGCATCTAATTTACAATATACAGATAATCTACTATTCTACAAGTGTATTTATTGAGTAGCGATGAAATATATTTAACATAGTTTCAAAGTGAATTGGGAGTGTTCAGGAAGTGTTTACCAATTTTATTGATTACCGTAATATTTATCATAGAACCACTCATTAAAAAATGTTCTTGTATTTATGTACTCAACTAGGTCATGTGTTATGCATGCATATATTTGCGCATATTGATTGCCTAATAGAAGATTGCAATTGTTTAGAATTATTTAATCTATATCATTAGTGATATCTGAAGATCATATGCTCCTTTGAATACCAAATACTCATATTGTTTAAGCTTTTGTTAGTTGATGATTTGGAATTGACACAGTTTTTAATACACTTCATATAAATATCACTTGTTCTGTCTAGTTGCTATCTACCATGACGTACAATACTGGATATCAAAGAGTAACTTGAACTTAAGCTATGAGTAGATAGATCAAGGCATGACACAAGTATATTTCATCGATTCCCAATCTAAGTCATTTCGGAATATATAGACTTTCTGACCGTTGTCTGTGTCGTATTAGAAGTCTTTGATTGAAGGGATTAAGTGACTTGGTACGAAGTAGGTAGCAGTGGAACAGTTTCGTCCCTTCTCTATCATTCTTAATTTTTACTTTTCGATTTCATTGGTTTTTCTTAAAATTGTATCTCATTATTAGTGTTAGAACGTTCGGTTTTCCTCGTCTACACGAATGAAACGCTAATTTGCCTTAGACGAATATCTACACTAGATACCCTCCCAGTGTGTATCTTACAGGACATCAACACAACTCAGATCAAGAACACGTGACTAGCCTGACTAGGACGTAAGTACATTTCCACATCGAAAACCGACAAAAATCCCAACAATAATAAGCGTGGGAGAACATACAACTTATCTAACACCTGTCAGACTATCTACTAGTCTGACAAAGCAAACAACCAATCATTATCATCACCCGCATATCAATTAGACGTCTACTGTTGCTTATCACTTGGTATTGTTTGTTTGTATCTTCGAGTCCCGGAGTGAACATCAACTCTGGGATGCAGGTACATCCAGATGACGAGTCCCAAATGCGACGAAACGCGCATCTTGGATTCCACTACTAGCCACTATCTGTCTTTGTCTACCGTTTCAGTTGATGCATTTCATGCTCTCATGTTCTTACTTTCCTTTGTCGCTGACTGATATAAAATACGGCAAATTGAATCTACACATTACCTCCATGTTTAGATAACAGCTCTGACTGGGAATCACATTTTTACAGTCGTAGTCTAAAGGATCCTATTAGCTCCTTATTATCATTATAATCATACAGCACTTAAAGTGTATTCCCTCCATTTAAATCCTCTAGACCTATCCACTGAATGTTAATGTGACATTTGTTCACTACTACATACACTAAACCGATGAATGAATTCTTCACCGCCTAAATTAAGCAATTTACCAATATTTTTTCGTTAGTCACTTCATTTCATTAAGTGTCAGTCTATCATTTATATTTTATAAAAGAAAAATATAACAGAATTTTCCACACACTTTTATGCAACATTTAATCCAATAGCTAAACAAATTGATATATGAGTAAATTGAAAATAATATTGTCACAATAATACAAAAATTTTCATTAGTAGTCTATTTGATAAATATTATACATAATGTTTTTGATGGCATTCATGAATTCCTGCCAATCCCAATTAAAACAAAATAGACTCAATAAATCCTATTCAAAAGTATTTAACTACAATACTTTTCCTCTAGTTCACTTGATTCAAAAAGCTATTAAAACAGGTTTATTTTCTTTTTCA